TAACATACATTATAACTTCAGATCTGCACCACTTTAATTGTCTGCTTAATTGGCTGACAAAGCATAGCGAATTCTACTTTTGCACCTTGCTTCTTTTTAACAGATGATTACATTTGCATCATATTCATGTAAGTGATCACTTATCAATTGTGATGCAGAGAGTTAAACAAAAAGGAACCTTCGTGACACCACGACATTGTCCCTAATCTGTGGATGTCTAAATACCCTTATTTTTAGTTAAGTACATTAAACAATCCATTTCATGCACTTATACAATCCACATATTTCGCACAATTGTACATGTTTGAGGCATGCATGCTTATTGTTTACTCCTTCCAATTCTATTTACCCTCTTATTTTTTTTCTTCAGTGGATTTGTTTACGGCATATCATAATGTTACATGTATTTTCATTTGGAGTTTTCTTAGGGTCATTAACAAGTTATAAATTAAGTTTGAATTTGAGACCCTCAACTTTTTGGGCTGCTTTCATCGGTAAGTTCATTTGGAAGTGATTTTCAAACAACATGAATTATGAAAATATATGCATTTTAATTTGACGGTGTTAAATGGTAATAAGTAGGTGTGCAGCTAGTAGCTACGAAGGGGAAGAGAGTAGGTGAGAGTAAAGAAAGCAAAGTGAAAGCTTGAAATACAAATATGCAATGCAGTGGCCCACAATAATATTCATAAAAATCGTTAGTCTAAGTTTCGTTTCCATAAATAAAAGAAGATAAAGCAATAGAGAGAAGATGAAACAAAAATATTCCAACTACATTCCTTAACATTTTTTTAAGTCATTGACAAGTGTCATTAAAATGTGATGACAACTGTTGTTTTTCTTTACTCTTTCTCTTTTCCTCCCATAATTGGTCGCCAAATATTCTGAAATTATTATTCATGTTACCATCACCGTCAAAGGGAGCGCGAATTTCCACTGTTTGTTGCATATAAATCTTCTTAATTATTTTGATTGCTTACCCTAGAAGAAATGATGAGATCTCTACCACGTGGACCTTTGATTTTGAAAAAGTTACAAGATAGAATTGTCAATTTGGCTTGTTACGGTTGAGATTTTTGTTAAGTTAGTGAGGCTCAATAATTTGAAGTCTATATTGTATGCAAGATTTAAGATTTTACATTATTTAAGTATTTTGTTCATGTCTAAGTCTGATTCAAATGCATTTAAATTTTTTATGCAAACAAGAAGACATTTATGTTCCTGATTGTAAAGGATCATGAACTTAAATTCGTGTGTTTTCTTATCATGTTACTAGAGTGAATAAATTTTATATAATTTAATTTGAAAATGTAAAGGGAAATATTACTTTTGTTTAAAATAATTATTAGGGCATAATTATCACAATGAAGACGTGGAAAACGGAAAACCAATAAATTAAGATAGCATGGGATATATTTGTCATCCGTATTTCCCCTTTCAGAGGAATATTTATATTCTAAGCTATTTACTTTATATACGAAAGTAAAGAATAGATGAGCAATATATGCACTAACAATATACTAACTATATACAAAGTCATCTAAAACATGTTTACTAACATCTATTATGGTAGTCAGATCATTTTCAATATTTCTCTTCCATAAAAATCTCAAGTATATGTATTAGATAATACGATTAATTAATAGATTGTTTGTTCAAGTAAAATTAAATTAAATTTCTTTAAGTAAGACATTAAATTTAAGTTGGATAGAAAAATGTCTTTTTGAGAAAAACTTCAATAAAAATCACCTAGATTTCTCACCGGTAATTAGATATTATAAAGAAATCTAATCATAAATAAGTACATATATATATATGTAAACTTATTAATTTTTATAATAATTATTTTAGAAATTATGTCAATGACAATTTTTAATTACTTAATAATTTTCTTCTCTAATAATTTATTTTTATATATTAATAATACATTCCTATTACATGTTTTTTGTTTCGTTGGAAAGAAGTCTTCCTCAAAATCTTGATTATATTAAGGGATGTTTAGTATGCAAATTTTTTTACTTTTTCAAAATTTTAAATTAAAAATCTTAATTTCATATGTATGCTAACTATTTTAAAAAAAGATTATCAAGAATATAATTTTTTAGAAACCATTTTTATTCCACTTTTTCATAAAAATATATTTTTTAGAGTGAAAATCTAACTTTTTCAAATTAAGAGAAAAGTTTTATACATATAAAATATTACAATATTATTTTTAAATAAAATATTTCTCTCTCACTCCCCTTCTCTCTATCTATCTTTATCTCTCTCCTTTTTTATATCTTTCCTATTAAATACTTTTTAAAATAATCTTTTCAAAATATATTTTTATCAAATTCAAAACTCATGAGACTTTCAAATTTAAAACCAATCACACTATCCATGGGATCAACGAAAGTTGGTAAAAAAAAATTTCCTCAAAACAATACAACTATATATATATTTGCATGTGTTGTATATAACTTAATTAAAATAGACTGATTTGAGTGATGATTCAATGAATTAGTTGAGTTGGTATTTGACATGATAATTAACTCAGGTGACCTGGGCTCTAGACTGCAACTGTATGGAATTATAATGTTCTATTTTTATATACAAACACATGCACACGGTTAATGTGGCGATCCCATGCCCCAAACAATTGATGATAAAGCCTAATCAACATAATCATCTGAGTAATACCTTTATAGTAATATACACTTGAGCTCATAAATATCTAGTTAAAAACTCAGGTTAAATTATACTGTTAATTATCTTACAATTTTATTTAAATTTTAATTAGTTTCTTGAAATTTTAAAACTTGTAACAAAATTTGTATAACTAAAAAGTAATACCTCTAAACATCTATAAATTTTTTTAAACTTCTTTCAACGTAATAAGTATTTGTGGATATATATTTTTTTAAACACTTCATAAGTTAAAAATTAATTTTTAAAAGTTTTGCATATTAACTTTAAAAAAAAAATATTTTTAACTTATATATATAAACTAATTATAATTTATAAAAGAAGATTATGTCATTATTTTCTCAAAGAGTAATTCTGTAGATTCTGAAATTAAAAGTCGAAACATCCTCCAAATTAATAATCAAATGACATTCGTAAAATTTTTTATAATATAATATTGATTCATATTTATTCGTTCGATTTTTCGACTATTACTTTGGGAGGCTTAGCATTTTCGTTTCCCATAATGGAAGAAGTTTATCTATCCTACGTACCTATCATACTTCAATCATTTCCAAGTTACAACTATTTGCTTCAATGCCTTGACTCTGTTCTCATTTGTACCCAGTGTTATCCACACACACACACATTTAGGTGTATACTGTACAAAAAAAAAAAAAAAAAAAGACAATTTGTAGGTAATTCAATTAAAAATTTGATAAAATTATATATAAGCACCCAGTAACCAAAAGCTTAAGTACTGTCTAAACACTTATTAGCACCTCTAAGTGGATCTTGGCTTCGTGTGTAACAATACATACATTTTAATTCATATTATTCACTGCATGTCCAAAATACAAAGTTTATCATGATAGGGATGAGTATTTTCATTGTATTGTAGCCAAATCTATATCAAGATGATTGTGAATGCAAGACTATTTTTAATGGAATGGCCAAGATATAACGTGGCTACTAAAAATTGCCAATTAAGGATTATATTATTATTATTTATTTATTATAAAAAGTTGTCCTTTTATTTTTCATAATCTCTTATCTTTAATTTTGATATATCTATTTTAAATGATACAATTACAATTTTTTTTTATCAATTGACTCTTAATTGAAAATGAATCAATTATATGATATGAATGTTAATATATATTAATGATATGTCACTTTGGTGTTGACATGACGAATCTAATGAAATTTTGATATATTGTAGTTACAATTTAAATAACAATTTAATCATTTGAGTAGTAATTAAAAATTGCGTAACTTATTAATATTGACTTAAATTAATGATGATGTGATAAATTTGATGAGATAATACTTTAATAATAACATGACGTTAATGCAATAAGAAAATATATTATTTTTTGTTATAAAATTTAATTTAAAATAATTATTTATTCTTTTATATAAGATTGGTTTATAGTTTTTGATGTATTATTTATTTTTAGATTAAAATACTTATATTTAAAATATATTTTCTTGATTTGATAAAATACATCAATTATAATATTTTTTTTTAAAGACATACATTCGAGAATAAATAATATTAATTATGAAAATAAAATAACATATAATATGTACTTTAATTAAGTAATAGAAAGATAAATATTAATTAAAAAATAAAAGTAATATAATAATAATTTTAAAAAATAAAAATAAAATAAAATTATTATTATCAACTAAATTAATAAATTTTTTAAATTTTGATAAATCAAGTATTTAAATTATATATATTAAAACAAAGGTAGTAAAATTTATTTAAAATAATAAAAAAATAGTCTCACTTTCACTATAACTTTCATTACTTAAATCATTAAGTTATTTAACTTTTAAATAAATGAGTTAATTACCTATATATTATTAATATAAATTTTTTTTACATTAATAATCAATCATATCGTATTTTTTATTATTTTAATTTGATTAAATAAGTAAATTATATAATATTATTAAAAGATATAATTAGTTATTAATGTAAAAAAAATTTATACTAATAATTTATAAATAATTAACTATAAATAAATTATATATTTTATTTACTAAATTAGTGTCAGCAGGATATGTCATTCTTAAAGTGCTAACTCATCAATACATATAAATCGTTATGTCATCATTGAACATCATTAATTTATGTCATTATCGATTAATTAATAGAGAGAAAAATATTATAAATTAGAAATTATAAAAAAATATAATTTAATCTAACTTTTAAAGTAAAACTTAAATTGTAATCAGAGACTCTTGAAAATCAAAACTGAAAAATGAAAAAATAAAATAAAAACAGAAAAGTGGTAGAAAAAGGCACCTGCAAGCTAGTGAGGTGCAAGCTTCACTTCACTTCCTGTCTTGTCTCTCTTTCATTTCAACGCAAACCTTTCTCTCTCACTTTCTCTTTCCCAACGCTTTATATCCAACCTTCCAAATTCCAATTCCCTCTTCACACTTCACACACCACAAACCATTCTCTCTCTCTCTAATTTTCTTCTATTCACCCCATTTCATTTGGAATTTTGCAACACTTTACGTTCCTCTTGGCTCAATTCAACCTCTCATGGTTTGCAACTAAACAATCCAACGTGACTACATAGATTCTCGTACGACCTTTCTTATTGGTGGTCACTTTATTTTCTTTTTTTAACATAGCTCTTATTTTATTGTTTAATTTTTGCATTGTTATTGACATTGTTAATGAATATTCAGCCTCAATAAGATTTTATGGGGGTAGAGAATTAATGACTTGGACCCAGTAACAAGTTGTGGAGAAAGTTTCCATTTTGATGAGATTGTGAATGTGGGCATGGAAGCACGAATGAAGAAGTACCGGCAAGTGAGTCCGGAGAGGGCCAAAGTGTGGACCGAAAAGTCCCCAAAGTATCATCAGAACCGGAAGGTTCCAGTGCTTTACTATCTTTGCAGGAACAGGCAGCTTGAGCACCCTCATTTCATGGAGGTTCCAATTTCATCCCCTGATGGATTATATCTGAGAGGTAGAAAAAAACAAAGGAAAATTAGGTTTGTTTGATTTCTATTTTCAAATTCTGTTTTTGGTTTCTGGGGTTTGGTTTCATGAGGGATTCTTTGTGTGCAGATGTGATTGATAAACTAAACTCTTTGAGAGGTAGAGGCATGGCTTCCTTGTATTCATGGTCCTGTAAGAGGTGAGAAAGTTATGGTGTTCGTTGTTTAATTTGTATGGTGAGAAAAATAATAGAGAATAAAAAAGAGTAAAACTGAGAAATGATAGGGTCTGCCCTTGTCCCTTGTTTCTCTTTTGGCGTTTTGGGAAAGTCAACGCGGATTTAATGTGTTTATACTTTATAGTGTATTTGGATGAATCGATCATGATTGAGCTTTGTGTTATTTCACTCTATGGTCAAATTGTTTTTGCTTTGTGTTTCAGTTTTCTTAAAGGATGTTTGTTTATTATGTAATTTAGAAGCTACAAAAACGGATTTGTGTGGCATGATCTCTGCGAAGATGATTTAATTCTACCTGCACATGGAAATGAGTATGTCCTCAAAGGTTCTGAGCTATTTTACGAATCGAATTCAGGTCAATAACGTTTTGTTTATCTTCGTCTTGTTGTGTTTTCTTAGGTCCTATTGAAATCTTATAATGATTGTGGATTTTCCCTTGCAGAAAGTTTTGGCCACATTAGCAATGTGAAAATACAGAACCTGAAGCAGTTACCAGAACCAGTTTCATGTAGGAGCAATGATGATGCTTCCACCTCTTCCAGCTTGAATGAGAAAGAAACAAGAAACTCCCAAGAAGATGAGCTTTCCCCAAGACAACAAACTGGTTCATCTGATGTGTCTCCAGAGTCTAGAGCTGGAAATATTGATTCTCTTAGCTTACCATTGGCAGAATACAAAATCTACAAGAGTGATGGATTGGCAGATGCTTCAACTCAGACAGAAGAAAATGTTAGCAAACCAATAACACAGAAAACTTGTACAAGGGGTGTATCAACCGAGGATGATGGTTCATTAGAACCTGAATGCCATGAAATATGTCAAACTCAAGTGCCACAAGGGAAAGATAATCCTGAACTCTGTAGGGTTGTGGTTTCTCCTCCTCCTTCAACTTCTAGTCCAGCATCTTCTGGAGGGAAAACTGAGACGTTGGAGTCCTTGATTAGAGCTGATGTGAGTAAAATGAACAGCTTTAGGATTCTTGAAGAGGAGCGAATTCGGATGCAGACCAGCGCGAGGCTGAAGGCCTCAAATCTGCTGATGCAACTGATCTCATGTGGGTCTATATCAGTGAAAAACCATAGTGTTGGTCTTATTCCCTCCTATAAGGATAGGTTTTGCCATTCGAAATTTCCCTCCCCGCTGTTCTCAACTTCTGTTATGTTAGGGGAATTTGATTGCCTATCAGAGAAAACAAAGGTGATGGGCCTCAAATTGGAAGACAAAGAATATTATAGTGGGAGCATGGTTGAGTCTAAAGTACTGATGGAAGAAGGTGGACATAATGTTCTGAAACGCTCTTCTTCTTGCAATTCTGAGAGGTAGGTTTTGCTTTTGATTCATTTCTTGCAACATGACAAATTAGCATTAGGAAGAATTACTGCTTCCTTTCCCAAAATTTATGGCGCCAGCAAATCGATCTCCTAAATGAATGGTTTATTACATACTACTGTTTGGTTGGTTGCACATGGTCTGCACTAGTCATAACTTCAGGGAACACCTGTTCAATGCTTAGGAAATGAGAGTGTTTGATGTCTGATGAAGTAGTAGGACTCATTTTTGGGTTATACAGTCATTCTTTAAAAAATGAACAATGCTAGATTACGCTACGTTACCACATAGTGACATAGGTTGTGTCATAGTTAAAAGGTGGAAAATGCTTATGTTATTTCCAGTTTCTATCGGACCTGAAGTTTGTCTTGATTATTACCAATTTAGAGCCCGGTGCACTAATTACACTATATTTCTATACTCCCATATTTCGCATATGCTTTCACTCCTTTTTAAAATTTAAACAAGATTACTTTAAACATTTATTTGGACAAAAGAAACCAGTTGTGCATCTATCTAATCACTTTGTCAGTTCTGAATTTGTTCAAGTTGTGAGATTCTAAAACTTTCCCCCTGACTTATTTCTTTTTTACACTTGTTTTTAAAAGTTAAACAATATTTAATGGAATATAAGTGCTTTCACATGCTTATAGAGATCTATATTTGTGATAGATAGTATGGAAAGATGTTTCAAGGAAGTGGCTTCCAAGGCACAAAAGATGGGGGGGCCTTGTTGCTTATTAATGAAGTTATCATTCTAAGGAAAAACAAATAGATATAATTAGAACTTCCAATATCTAGCATTCTTCTCAGGGGGAAAAGGAGAAAAGAAAACAAAATAAAAGTAAAAAAAGAAATAGAAAAAAAAAAGAGAGGCTGGACTAATGGGGGATTTGGATCCTCTCTTGAGTTTTTTTTTCATTCTTTTTGTCTCCTATCATGTGAAACACTTAAAAGAAGAATATGGTTTCTTCTTTTATGTGCCCTTTTGAATCAATTTTGGGAATAACATCATAATTTGATAATATATTCTTCTGTAAAGAGTTGATAGAATCCCCGTGAGAATAAGTAGAATTTCTCTTGTATATTGTTGCTAAATAAAAGTTGCAGTTTACGAAGTTCTTTCCAAGCCTTTGTAATTTTAATGTACGTGCTATTGCCTTTTTACAAAATGAGGTCCTTACTTGGAGGCTTATCTATTATCACATGCTGCTAAAAATAACTTGGGTTTAAAAAATTATTATGCCACCTTTGTGGTTTCATGTGTTAGTGTTGTGATTGATTGCGATTGGCATGTGATAGGAACATGATGTTTCATCTGTAACAAATGTGCAGGACATCTAAAGAGTTGAAATCACTAGACACGGAGGAATCATCATCCTCAGGAAATTCAAATCGTGTTCAGCAGTCAGTTAAGGCTTCGATGACCAAGCAGCCACTAATTGAATGCATGAGATCTCCTATTTCCGATGGATCAAGAAATTCCATGGATAGAACTGATGGGTCAGTACCATCTAATGGTAGCAGCAAAAGGATCTCTAAAACCTCATTAGGGTCAGGGAGAAATCAATCTAAAAGGGTAGAGTCATTTAGAGAAGAGGAGAGTGTAATCAAAATTGAAGAAAGTTAAGTGTTGACTCTATCTTGTCTCTACTTATGTTCTTAAAAATTGCTAGAACTTGGGAGCATGTTTTTACACTTTAAAGTCATTGATTGACGACTTTGATTTTAAATTCAACAGGCTTGCTTCAGGAGCTCGGGTTATAATCCAATCTAAACCATCTTGCAACATGGCAAGTAACAGCTTTTGTTTGAATGCAACATGATGGTATATATCTATGTAGGTCCACGTGATATATACGTAAATCTACAACGTGAAAATGTTGTGACAGATTATTCACTGCATGGGGGGCTACTTGTACACGTGTGGTCCCAATGGTCCATTCCTCATCCTGAAATATCATGTGTTGGTTATAACCTTATAGGGACTGCCACCTGAAATGAAGTGATTGCACAATTTTTTGTAACTACACGTACTATATTCTTTTGCCCCCCCAGCTTTTGTTTGCTTAAAGCTAGTGCCTCCATCTTTTTTTTGCATTTCCAAGGGTAAAAATTGCCACACAAAATAAAGTGTTGGGTCATTTTCAAACCATTCTTCTCTTGGCATTGGTGGTGGTGTTGCCGAACATGTTGTATGTGAGATTGAACTTGACGTATAAGCCTGTATTTATTATCAAATTGGTGAGGATAAGTTATGAGGCTATAATTAGAATTGGTGTATAACGGGCTTGCAAATATGATTCTAGAACATGAGCCTATAAATTAGGATAATGGAAGTTGCATCTGGTGAGTAAAATAGTATTGATAATTGTCTAAATGAGTACTTATACCAAAAATAAGAACTATGTTTATGTGAGGGGGGAGTACTCAGCAACATGGAGAAACGTTTGTAATTCTTAACAGTAAGTGTGTGTTTGGTTTCACGTTTGAAACGTGAAAAATCACGTTTAACGTGGAAGTTACAATGTGTAGCTTCACGTTAAATGTGATTTTTCACGTTTCACGTTTAACGTGGAAGCTACAATGTGTAGTTTTACGTTAAATGTGATTTTTCACGTTTCAAATTGTGTTTACAGGCTAAGACGTGGCCGAATGCTAATTTTAGAATAATGCTGTAATACACTAATGCTACTCTACCTGGAATTCCTTTCCATTAATTATCATGGTTGATTTATAACTGGAGAGTGAATGCAGAAAATGATGTGAAATAATCTTATTAAGTCCTTGAAGGCTACGAAAGAAGACACCAAGGCTCAATCTTGAAAAGGTGGGGGTTGATTTTTTCGAAACATTATATAGATTATTGACTAAAACAGTGCCGTTCAAACTTGGAATTTCTATGTAACAGTAACAGAAAGGTCCTTCTTTTGAATAAAGGCACTGGTCCAAGAAACAATAAGATTCTTTATGTTACTAGAAAAATTTTATTCCAAAAACGTACGAATTCTTTAAAATGGATTAGAGTTACATTATTCTTACATATACTTTCTATTAACATTCTTTTAAACTTCATTCCTTTTTTTTATTTTCTTTCTTTTCTGTTACAACATTACTGATTTTAGTGTACCTTCCTCTCTCTTATTTTCCCCTTTCTTTTAATCATAAAAAAACTATGCTAATAGAATTTTTCAGCAGAGAACATTAACACATTGAAATAGCTTTCTTCTAAAGCTTCACGAATAGAAATAGGGGCTCTCACCAAAAACTGCTATCTAGTGAATGCTTTTTGTCTGGAAAGGTTTATGGGTTACTGCTTTCATGCACATATCTGACTATTGTGATCTTCAGGATCGAAAAACTTATTTAACAAATCTTGTGTTTCACTTTCACATAAAGCAAGAAGGCATTGATCTTGTTCTGTAATCTCCCTCTCTTTTCCCCTGTAATTCTCATTTTGAAGTGACAGTGGGGTAATTCTTTCTTTTTTCTTTTTAATTTTAATTTTGAGTGTCAGTGTCAGTGTGTAATTATAAAATAAAAATATGGTGGTTGAATGTTGAGCCTGTTTTCATGTCTACCTGGATGTGTAGTAGGGCAATTTATTTGATAAAACAACCGGAGATAATGGATTTGTTTTTGCATCACAATGCAATATTGCAGCAAATTAGACGCCGCATGAAATTTATATGTTTGAGTTTATTTATTTATTCTAATTTTATGGATTAAAAGATTGAGATGTATTGTACTGTTTTGTTTCAACTTATGCACACTTTGTGCTTGGTTAGATAGCTTAATAATTTCTTTTGCTTATAATTTTTTTTTTTTTGATAAAGATGAAATATGAAAGAAGGAATTTAGACAAAATTAATTGGGTGCATAAAAAACAAAAATTGAAGTCTTTGTGATCTAAAGTTACACTAAACATTGGTAAAGATGGGATGTTAAGAATTGCATCACTTAAAAAAAGGATGAGAAACTAAAGTATAATGTTACAGCCTAAATTAACCTTTTCACCTTAAATTAGATCTTTTCTCGGCCATCGAGTTGCTCGCATGTTCTCATACCGAATCTGCTTCAATTTACTCCAAGTAAATAACAATGAGTTTTATTTTCTTTGATAATCGATTAATTGCTCCGCCATCTCATATATCTTTTTCCTTTTTTTCTTCTTCTTCATAATCGATTCTCTTCCATATGATAATTGGTTCTGGTTTCTAATTATTAAGCGCAAGAGAGTTTGCTATGATAATAGTCAATTCTCACAAGGGGAAGTCAATTTTGTGTGCTACAAAGAGTCATGCAACGATGATAATCAATTCTCACATAGAGTAAATTGATTTTTTAAGTTCTAGTGAGTCTTGTTGGCATAACAATAACTCTCATGGTGATATTTGATTGAATAACTGTGTAAAACTATTTTAATATGTTAATTCATTTTTTATTCTCTCTTTTATATGAGTTTAATGGTCATATACTAAACATAAAATGATTTATATTGTCAATCAATTAAATATTATCATTGAAATAACTTTTTATTTAATAATTATAAAAGTCAACAACTTATCATTTGTGGTTGGATAAGAATGCAAATCACCTATTCTCTCTTTTTATATCATCAAAGTTGTATGAGAGTAATTTAATTTTATTATCTATGATCTCATTTCTCTCTTCTCTAAAAAAATTGAAAATAACTTCAAAAAATTTCCCTTAAATACACTCCTATTTCTCTTGTGGTGATAGTTGGTAGTATGCATAGTATCTTAAATTCAAACTTTGTTGTTATTGTAATTTCTATAGATTAAAAAAAAAAAACACTCTTATTTCTCTTAAAGGAAATAATTCAATAATCTACCCTATGGATCTATCTAAGTAAACTTTTCTAAAAATACTTATTGGAGAGAAAAATAGAAAGAAAAAATTAAATAAATTTCTCTATCAGTTAAAAATAACTTATAATCTTATAAACAAGTTAATTTTTAGAATTTTTTTATTAATTTCTTTAAAATCTTATTTTTAACTCTAATATAATTAAGCTAGTTTTAGCTTACAATTTTTTTTTTTTATTTTTCTTCCTATTTTTTTAGAAGTATTTCTATCCAAGTAGACTTTATTTATTTCTTCCTCTCATCTCACCAAAACATTATATATAATATGCATAAAAGGAACACCCTATTAAGCCTCCATCACAAAAAAATAGCTTATTATAAATTATCTCTCACTAATATATACTTCATATTACTGGTTAATGCGAATTTTATATACTTTCCATCTCTCTTTAGTATATTGATTCACAAAAAAAGTTAATTTGTGTATCAAATACACCACCAACATTTTGATAGTGTTTGTATTGATTTTCAATGGGATTTGTCATTTAAAATGAATTAAGATGAAATTTAAGACAACCTTTATGTTACAAACTTACGATTTTTAATAAAATCAAGATTAAACAAAATCAAGTTTGTAAATGTTTGATCAGACATAATCGACATGCATGTACTTTGTTGATTGGTGTCTGCTAGAAGGAACTGGTAATTAAGTCTGACTGGAACAGAAGAATTGGGACTTGGGAATTACAGAGACATAAGTTTCAGTTAACCTACAAATCCAAACGAATTGATCCGAAGTTGAGTTCTATTTTCTGAATTGAGATGTCAAATCAGTTTAAGAAGTTTCAAAACTGCATCTAGATGGGATGGAAAATCTCAACCGACCCTGATTTCAGTATTTGGGACTGAAAAACAATGCGAAAGTATAGAATGGATCATGCAGCACCCGAAATGTCGCATGAAATTGACAAACTAGAATAAAATAAAACAAGTTACGACCCTCTCATATTCATATATTCTCATTTGTGTAGAATATTCCTGCTATTGTTTCTAGTTCTAGAACCAAATAAAAATTAATTCCTATTTTCTATCACATTAATGTTTGTGGCTATGAAGCTTATGGTTTACCCGTGGTAGGATGACATGGATGGAAGATAGTGCTGCATGGCACGTGTAAGCGTCATCTCAACACGTCCCTTTACATGCCCTCCATATGCATACACAAGGGATCAAAACTGTGGTCGCTGATGTTAGTCTTGATTCTCCCTAAAAAAGAAAAGGTCAAAGGATCAATCATTTGATTAAGGTCAATGAGGGCAACATGATGGCTGCATCAGTGGCTAGGGTTCAATTATTTACTCTCTACAGTTAAGGAATTCATATGCACACACATCTTTCAGTAACAGCAAGTAAATAATTAAAAATAAAAAACAAAGTAAGACCACTAGCTAATTAAGGTAATATGCTTATTCATACTTCCATATGAGTATTAATATTTTGTAGTCATAAACAAAACCCCAGGAAGTTCTTTCCAAATCTATAGGTGTAAAACGTTAATTAGGGACCACATTGCATGTTAAGGTCAGTTATTTTATTGTCTTGAGGATCTGGTGCCCACATATTAACGGCTAGGTGCAAAGTTTGAGGGCTGTTATGATTAATTATGAAAGTACTTTCCATTTGTTTTATAAAATTTAAATATGAGGAACGTCATTATGTTCCCAATTGATTCTTTTCACACAGTAGTAGTAGACACTTCGGTCATTTATTTATCCCGAATAAGAAGTGGAAGTAATCACAGAAAGTGACCTTTGTGACAATGAGCTAGGCATCAATAAATTGGTTTCAGCTTCAATCAATATAATATAAAAGTCGAGAAATGTTCATTCACAGGCTCGGTTATGCAGAACTAAATAGAAAACTAATCATATATATATAGATAAACCTGGAGTGATTAGATACTCCCAGATTCGGCCTCTAGATCAGCATAAAATAATAATGCTAGCTAATCAGCATGATATATAAGAAAGTGACGAGGGTTTTTTAAACTGCTTCTAGAGAAAGGTTACTTTAGTTTAACCATTAAAATTACTTGAAAATCCAGTTTTCTTAGTTCTGCTTTTGCATTATTCTTCCTATTGACAATTGCTATAACTTCATATTTGTGCAAAAAAGTTGAGATCGGCTGCAAATAGGTTAATTTCACTTAATATATGCTTATAATAAAAAAATATTATAATTCAAAATAACAATTTCTTCAATTCATTAGCTAAGAATGTGATCAAATGAGTTGATATAATAATAAAAAATAAATAAAATAAGTTGATATAATGATCAAATATTTTGCATTCACATGTTATGAAAACAATTTATTTATTAAATATCTGTTGTATTGTTAAAAAAAATAATTACAGTATTATAAATGAGATTAGTTTCTGATCTAATAAATTAAAAATACCCTTTGAGAAAAAAAAAAACAGAAAAAGAAAATACAAGCCTCAATTTAAATACAATTTAATAAATACAAACACCCAATAGAACTATCTAGTATGAATTTATTAACAAGTAGATCACATATCCATTGCTCCTTGGACACACTAACCAAATAACGGTTATGGCCATCCTGTAATTAAATACCAGAATAGAAATCAAACACATCTCTACTATACTTTATTAACAAACGGCGGAAATATAAAATAAGACCTCACTAACATGAAAGGAAACTCATCTTATTCCGTTCACACAAAACCTAGATATTAATAATCATGTCTGTCAACCTTCTATATATTACAATTAGACCTCTCTAACTATCCAAGTTCCAACTATGAACGCGATGGATGCGCACCAAAACACACTTACATACATCAATGATTTTGAGCTTTATGACTTCGTTCACAATCCAAATTTTGATCAGTTCATCAATTTGATCCGAGGGGAGGATGAAGATGCCAACTGTGACTTCGGTTCTGACCTTATCAATGATTGTTTTGTTAACAATCAGCTTCTTTCATGCCCTACAAACCCATTTGATCAGAACAATAATAATGCTGTGAGTGTCTATGATCCAAGCTCCACATTTAGCTCCTTCTCTTGCTTTGATGGGGAGGTCAAGGGGCATGGAGAAGAAGAACATGATGGAGAGCATTCTTCAGAGACAACCACGACAACGACAATGACAACTAAGAATGGTGATGCTAAACCGAAACTAAAAACTGATAGGTCCAAAACTCTCATTTCTGAGAGGAGAAGGAGGGGTCGAATGAAGGAGAAGCTTTATGCATTGCGTTCTTTGGTTCCCAACATAACAAAGGTACAGGTCTCCATTTGGATTAATTAATTAAGATAGTAAAACTGTAGTTAAAGTTTAATGTAAAAATGTTGCATGAAACTTAATAACATACTAAAATGTTCGACCAAAAGAGTTTAATAATCATGTATCATTATTATAAAATATTTTAGACTGTCAATCAATTATAAATCACTATTTGTATAATTTTTAAAATATTATTGTGAAAATTAATAAACTTACCATTTATAGTAATTTTTTATTGCAAGACAGTGTAATAGTGTATTTTCTCCGATTAAAACTGATATGGTTTTGCATTTGAGATATGTCCACAGATGGATAAAGCTTCTATAATTGGAGATGCAGTGTCATACGTGCATGAGCTTCAAGCTCAAGCCAGGAAGTTGAAGGCTGAGGTTGCAGGACTTGAAGCATCCTTATTAATGTCTGAAAATTATCAAGGATCAATTAACAATCCCAAAAATGTGCAAGTAGCACGTAATAGTCATCCAATATGCAAGAAGATCATGCAGGTTGGTTTGATATATAAAAGAAATTCCTGTCAACTTCATAAGTTTTCATTTAGTCTATGCAGATGCATTACATTAACACTTGTGCATGCTGCTTTATAGGTGGACATGTTTCAAGTGGAGGAAAGAGGGTATTATGCAAAAATAGTGTGCAACAAAGGAGAAGGGATGGCTGCATCGCTTTATAGGGCTCTTGAGTCTCTTGCAGGCTTTAATGTTCAGAATTCAAACTTGGCTACAGTTTGTGAGAGTTATCTACTCACATTTACATTGAATGTAAGATGTTCCAATAATTTAATCTTTCTATTTTGTTGAAAAGAGTTATGAGTTATATATGCTTATATACGGATTAATTTGGTGATTGATGTGTTGAAAACAGGTAAAAGGATCTGAACCAGAAATTAACTTGCCAAATTTGAAGCTTTGGGTAACTGGTGCTCTTCTGAACCAAGGCTTTGAATTCGTGACATCGTTTCCTGCTTGACTCACTATGACGTAGAATATGCATTTGAGAGATTATAATGAGCCATGAAACATGTACTGAGCTAGTATGAGCCTCCAATACCATCTGTGCAATAACACAACACTATTGTTACATATTATAAGCACAACACCGTTGCTACCTTCGTTCTATGTAATTCTCCAATTTTCACTAAAAAATAATAACACCACAAAGGCAACAAATCCAATATTTATTTTTCTTTGTTTAAATTTCACAAGGTAAATGACCATTAACGTCATGAGTTTATCCAAACAGAAAATGAACAAATTAAAATCAACAGCATTTTTATTTTAAATATTGTAGGTTGGAGATTTTTTTTCCTCATTAAAAAATGATTTTTGTAAATTTTCATAATTATAATAGCTATCTTATACTTTTCAGAATTATATTAACAGACGACATAAAATAGATGTATAAAAATTTTAGTATAATTCTAAATAGTATTTTCTTTTTCTTGAATATAATTTATGTAATATTTTAAAATTGGCAATCAAGAATTAATATATATTTACGAATCGTGACTTTTTTCTTTTTTAATATATTCACATGAAACCATTGTGCTTTTTCAAGCAAATTAATAATATTTATTTAACTGATTTGCAGTATTTTTGTTTCAATCTCTTACTTTATAATATTATTAAGGTTTAAATATGTTTTTAGTTATTTAAATTTAAGATAAATTTATTTTTGATCACTTAAATTTAAAATTATTATTTTTAATTCTATGATTTTTAAAAATCTTGTTTTAGTCTTTGAAATCACTAATAACATATCAGACGGTGATTGATTGACAATAACTTATCTTATTTTAAAATTAAAATATTTTTTAAGGTAAATATTAATAGTTAAATTTTATATGACAACATTTAACAGATTTTCTAATAAAATTTTAGTATAAGAACTAAAATAATTTTTTTAAAATTATAAAATTAAAAATATTAATTATTAATTTGATAGGAATCTAGAGAGATCTTTGTATTCTTCTTTGATGCACAAGGAGTTTAATGCAAGTTGTTACCGACAAATAACGATATGTAAATTTCGTATAGTAAATGTAATATTCCATTTATATTTTTGGAAGATTAGTAAACGGTATATAATAGTGTGATGTTTGTTATTTATATCTATAATAACGTTGTTTCAATTACAAACTCTCATAATTATGACAAATATTAATAATGATAATTATTATTGAGACTACCGTGTTTTGTGATGTTTTAATCATTAGGATTCTTCATGGAAATGAAAATTCTTTGTTGTTAATCTTGTTTATTTAAAACTTTGTCAATGAAAGTTAGCATATTATTTCACTAATATTATTTCACGAAAGAGTTACTTTAATATCTAATATTGTACCCAAAAAAGATTGAATGGAAGGTTAGGATAATTTGTCTTTGCACAATCCATAATTTAAAAATCCTGCTG